TAAGAGATAATTATGGGGTATTCTTTATTTAAATAATTTAATAATAATATAAAATTATAAAAAATAACTTATTTAATAAAGTAAAATTTAATTAATTTATAAATAATTAGTGATATGTTATAATCTGTAATTAAACTGTTATAAGCAAGAATTTTTTAAAAGTAGATTTAAAACCTGTAATATTGACTCTTAAATGTGTATATGGGGTGATTTTTACTAATTAATATGTACTCATTTTCATAGCAATAAAATATACTTTTGCAACAATTTTTACTTGAGAAGAAGTTCAATAATTTTCCGTTGCACAAACTACAACTTGGTGTTCAGAATCTGAAAAGTCTCAAACTGTTGGAGAAAAAAATATTTGATCAAAAACTTGTTTGAAGAGTTCAAACTACATTTAATAAGTACTCTTTTGTTTCCAATTTATTCATGGTACTTTTATTTTTATTCAATTTGATATACAATGTTCTTTTTTCTTGGGGGTGGGGACGCGCATCTTTAAGACCACAAAATTAAAAGAAATTTTTATATATTCTACGTATGATCCTTAAATTAAAAGTTTTCTTTATTTTTTAAACATATCAAATTAAAATTAGACCAATCTATATCTATTTTTTTTTTGTAATCTATATATACTACCTTAAAAGAATGAACCACTTAACTTAAATGTTAAATTATTATAATACCCCAAACTCAAAACACCAAACGTAGCATATCTTCTATATTTAATATTGTATTATATTTATTTGTGTGTATAATATTATATTATATTATATTAAAGGCATAAACCTTTTCACATTGAAGGGTTGTGACATTTTCGAAGAGTTATAACTTTTCCGATGAATTGTGACCTTTTTGAAGGGTTGTGACTTTTTTTATAGGGTTGCGACTTTTCAGAAGAGTTGTGACTTTTCTGAAGGGTTGCGACTTTTTTGATGAGTTATGACCTTTCTGAAGGCTTGTGACTTTTCTATAGGGTTGTGACTTCTTTTTTATAAGGCACAATAATCAATTTTTCATACACTACCCTTTGTTGACTATAAAAATAGGGGTTTTCTCAAATTTTTAAACTACATTTTAAAAAAAATTATTCATTCTTCTTCTTCTTCTTCTTAAAACGTCTTATTTAGTATATATTCTATATTTTTATGATAAGAAACAATATGCACATACTAATACTATACATTTTTAACTATAAATGGAGGGGTTTTCCCACATTTTTAAACTACACCTTTTTTTGTGTTTTCTATTTTTCTCTTCTTAAAACCACAAGTTTGATTTACAGACTTTGACAATCTCAAAGTTCAGTGAAATTAGAACACTCCGTAACATGAATGTTAAATTAATCTAATACCCCAACTAAAAACATCCAATTTAGTATATCTTCTATATTTTATATCAATGTTTATATTATATTATACTATTATATTAAAAGTAAGAACACCAATAATACAATAATAACAAAGTAACGCACTACGGAAAAGGGAGGAGAAATTATATTTAAGAGGTATAACTAAGAATTTTTAAGAGTGGCTAATATTTTATTTAATAATATTCACATTATTTTTAAAAATAGAGTGGTACATGGTTTGATATTCACGTGCAACGCATGCGCGTCAAAACTAGTATATTTTTAGAAGACCCATATATAAAATATATGATCCCATTAGTATTATAAATTAATAATTCTTTAAAAGTACAAATATATCTAAGAAAATTTAGTGAAATATGATTTCTATTATGTTCTGTTTTAAAAAAATAAAATTAAATCTAGTTGAATCTCATTTCTAACTTTTCTTATTGCATCCAAAAGTTTCGGTGTTGTCTTTTCTAATTGCTCCATAAAATTGTGAAGAGTTCTAGATGCAAGTGTTTCCTCACGCGTAACTGGTTCCAAATGTATTGTATCATCTTCAACTTTATCATTAACATTGTTTTTCCAATGATATTCACAATTTGTTCTAAGCTTTGGACCTCTAAACATGTATCATTTTTCATCCATCGAATAGGTTATTAACGTCCATTTTATTGCGATAATCGAGATCATTAATCATGACCTCAAGTTCATGAATGATGTTTTCACAAGTGGGTTCTTTTAGATTCTTTGAGATTTCATTCATGAATAAGTTTTTCGGTGTCGAAACATTCTTTAAATTAATAAATATTACTTTATCGATTAAAAAATCTCTCTACAAAATAATAATATTTCATGGTCCATTTATATTAAATTAGAGAGGTTTTAGTGTATTTTTGTACAACTTTGTGCCAAACTTAATGAGGTGTTGTTTATTGAAGATGCATCACGTCCCAAACCAACACCTCAAATCTTAAAATCCCGCCAATATCAAACCGGAGCAAAGTTTCGATTTTCGAATCCTCGGCGGCGTTTCATCGTTTTCCATAAAATTATGATTTCAAATTCTCAACAGAAACTGTTTCTTTCAATTCTTTTGATTTCTTCATCGTAAAAGATTTTGCGTTTTTCTATCACAAAAAATCTAGGGTTTGCTTTAGAAAAATGAATTTGGGCGATCTTAATAAGGTATGGGAAATCAAAGCTCTGAAGCGTAAACCCAAAAATGAAGAAGCTAACAAGATTCTTGAGAAAATCGCTAAACAGGTTCAGCCCATTATGCGTAAGCATAACTGGAGAGTTAAAGTTCTATCTGAATTTTGGTAATTATTTTCATTTTTTACTATTGTGTTTCTCGATTGAGAAAATGATTTAACTAAGTGAATTGTGAATGTTTGCAGTCCAAAAAGACCAGCGCTTTTGGGATTGAATGTAGGAGCAGGGATACATGTAAAGCTGAGGCTTCGAAGACCGAATAATGATGAGGAATTTTATCCTTACAATGAAGTTCTGGATACTATGCTTCATGAACTTTGCCATAATGCTCATGGTCCGCACAATGCTAGTTTTTACAAACTATGGGATGAACTTAGAAAGGTAAATTGCATAATAAGTATGGTTGGGTCTGGAGTTTATTTAAGCACAACATTAAAAAATTTTGTCGAGTTCATGGCAAATAGAGTTGATGTTTTCGTTTCTATAGTTTAGAATGATGGCCTACTATTAGGAGTTAAATTAGTCACTTAGCCTTTGTTGTGAATATTTTAGTTTAGTGGTAAGTTTATGCGTGAGTTGTGGTTCATAATTGATGATTTTATGTTACTGAAGAACCTTGTGTATATTTTGTTGGCTTTTTTCGAAGTGGTTTGCCTTCATAATATTCATGTTTTGTGTAAATACTGTTAGTATGTTAGTTTAAGTTCCTGTGAATTATATTTGATAACTCTGACTTAGCTTTTTATGGACTGAATTTAGCCTGACAAGGCAGTGGAAACATGAACTTGCATTAGTTACATGAGATTGTAATCTACTTGTTGAAGTTATTGCAGTTGGAAACACCTAACAAATTTGTCTGATTTTTCTTTGTATAATTAAACCTATTTTTAATAGCCAAGGCCTATGAAGGGAAGGCAAAGAAATTATGGCACGTCTAGAACTCCAAGTTTTTATGTCAAATCTACCCTTTTTTTGCCTAAGCAATTGCCAAGGCAGAACCAATTTGAATACATTCTGAAGTATGCTGACCCTTTTTTGTTAGCCTTCACGTAGGATAAAATCTTTGTCGATCTTGATAGCAATAACTGTCTCTTGATACATGTTACGAATTTTATGTGATACCTGCCACTTCCCACGAGCAATAGTAACCAGAGGCTTGTTATCATTGTCAACCAGACTTTCAAATGTCACAGAAGCTAGAACTTATTATAACAGAAAAAGGTGGCTGTTAGGTTATGTTCATCCTTGTGCGTTTTCTCTTTCTCTATTTAGCATGGGTACATATGCAGATATAGTTTCGGAAATGCATATTACAGACTTACAATATATTTTTTACTCATATGGATACAATACGAATTGATGTTCTGTAATATATTAAACTAACTTATTCTTTATTTAGTAATATCATTAAAAGAATATTGAACATTATAACTGCAAAAGAAATGAAAAACACATCATTAAATTTGAGATGTCTAAATCTAGTTCAACATGGCATAATGTAGAAGAAGCATCAATGTCAGACATTTCTCCTGAACCCTGGAAATTGAAGCCATGATGATTGAAGCTTTCTGCCATTTATTAATCGGTACAGCTTCAAGGAGAAAAGACACGTGTTTTATGTTGAACTAATAGAGCATAAAACTTGTGCTGTTTTCTTTGTTCTTTTTGTGTACTTTTGGTTTTTGCTGCCATGAAAATTTATGGTCTTCTTTTTGGATAGGAATGTGAAGATTTAATTGCTAAAGGGATAAGTGGCACAGGAGAAGGGTTTGATCTCCATGGAAGGCAATTAGGAGGCCGTCACCCACAGCCATCCATGTCGTCTCTCCGCAAAACTGCTGCAGCTGCTGCTGAAAATCGAGCACGTCTTAAATCCTTGCTACCATCTGGGCCTAGACGCCTGGGTGGTGACCATTCTATTAAGTCTGCACTTACTCCAATTCAAGCTGCAGCAATGGCTGCAGAAAGGAGATTACAGGATAATATTTGGTGTGGTTCTGAATCGTGTGACTTATCAGACTTAGATGAAACTTCTGATTCATTACCTGAGCCTTTACCACTAGGGCATACTTCTGATAGATCCAAGATCTCTAATGGTTTTGATGCACTGTCTTCCAAGGTAACATCTCGAAAAAGAAGTCGAGAATCAAATTCTGTATCATCCTCAAAGTCCTTGCATGGCCATACTGTGACTAAACCAGTATCTAAGCCCCTGTCTAACCATGATAAAGAAATTGCTCAGAGAGTTGGTCAGGCAGAAAGGAACTCTCATACTGTGCCATCAAGAGGTTATCCAGAGTCTTTTATTGATTTAACTGGCAATGCTTCAAGTTCTACATCAATGCATGGCCATGATGACTTACACAGTCCCAAGGAATCAATGATGTGGGAGTGTTTGATGTGCACGCTGTTGAACCCAGTATGCTTTTCCCTTCTTAGTGTAATCTGAGCAATTTTCTCTTAGTTTAGTTTCTCTCTTGATAAGCTTTGGCTTGTTTGTGCTATAGATGAATTTGCACTTCTTGAAATTGTGTAGACAAATTATGCTTTCACTGTAGCTTTCTTGCACAAGCTCCTAGCACAATAGTCATAGGTTTACAGTTAAGATCATATTTAAAAGCTACAGTACTTAAAATCAACGAAAGTGTGCGTTCTGGTATGTGAGGAGACTTCTACTCTCTGCGATTTTTATGCTGAATATCTGGTAGAGACATTATGATTATATCACTGCTGATGTAATATTTTCGAAGTGTCAAACTAGTAAGTATTTCTATGTAGATGTCAGGTTGTGTTGGTGACCTGATTAATGTGTGCTTGGACCCATTTCCAGACCCTTTGATATTCATCTGACATCCTAATCAACGTGCATTAAAGTGGAAAAACTTGATGTGACTTCTTGTTCTTTTCAAATACTGTTGTTTGATGGTTCTAAGTTTGTGAAATTCTTATAATGTCTTATTTCTACTGTTTATTAGCAGGATATAACTAATAATTGTGTTTTTTCCACTTCAGTTTTTACCTTTTCTGTTGGTTTCCATCAGTTTGCAAAATCTTCTTCCACTTCTTGGAGTTGACTTCCTCTTTTTTCTTCACCAACATTTTGTGCAGCCATTAGCTCCTGTGTGCAAAGTTTGCCAAACCCAAAAGCCCAAAGATGTGGATGACAGAAATAGTATATGGTCATGCAAATTTTGCACCCTGGATAACAGTCTAAAGTTGGATCAGTGCACAGCCTGTGGAGAATGGAGATATTCTCACGGCCCTCCTGTAGCAACATCAGCACCCAATCTTGGCACTTGAGGTGAACATGAATTGTGGGAACTCACATTTTTTCTCGAAATTGCCACTCCTGATTGTTGATGTCAATTTTGCATTGCCCATCAGTTGATCAAGTATATTCAAGAATTCACCTAATTTGATAAACTGGACAAGCTTTTCTTTTTGCTAATTGTGCCAAGGTGATAATTTTACTTGTGAATCTCCAATAGAAGCTTGTTATTTCATACTTCCCTCTCAATTTCTTCATGCCAATTTCTTTTTATCAAGAAATATGCTATTCACATTTGGAAAGAAAGAACCAATATATCAGCAGCATGTTTTTGTTATTTTTGGTAGAGTTGAGCTTGTCTTGAAAAGATGTAGATAGGGAATTACTCTTTGGAAGATGTTCACCTCTTCCCTGCAGCAGACTTCCATTATGCCCCTTGAGTCTCTTGAAAGACTGATTAGGTTGGGACAGGATTCGAATCTGCAATCTTCAGGTCATGAGTCTGATGAGTTGACCAATTCCTCTACCCCGCGTCTTCATTGTAGGTTCTTCTGTAGAGAAAGGACATTGCCATTTAGCACTCTGTGGCAGAGAAATGGATGTGCTGATTTTGTCTCAAATTTTGGAGTTGAAATCCTCGACGCGTCTTCTAAAGGAATGACATTTGAACAGAGCATGCCTCACTAATTCAGGTGGCTGTGTAGATAGACCCAGAGAGTGAACATCAAGTTTTTCAAAGGATGATGAACATGGAAGTTTTCATGGCTGATGATATAATTATTTCATGGCCAAATTATCAAACCCTTAAATCAAGTTCAACACGAACTTGAATTAATTGTTCATGGTGAGCAAATCCGAATTATTATTATTATTCGTCAAGTGTTCATGACAGATAGTTCAGATTTAAGATCAAGCTCTAAAACTTAAAAATCAAAATATTGTAGTCTGTTAATATTCTTCTTGTATTTGATTATCACATAAGAAATGTTACATGGTGGTGGTAGTCATAATCATTTTAAAATTTTTGGACTGCATAATTGAGAAATTTTGGAGAAAAAAAATAGAGCGGACCCTTCACTCAAAGCAGAGACGGAAGTCAGAATTTAAAATTTGTGGACAGGACAATGACTTCAAATTAAATATATAACAACGGCCAAACTAATTATGAACAGGTACCAATACTTAGAAAGGTGATGAGCTACTTAAACACTACATAATTATAAAAATTATAATTATAATTGCATTCGAAATGTCATCGTTTTCAACTTCTTTAAAAATCAATTTTGGGTTTTAGCATTTTGAGCGTATGTGAAGAAGCATACAATTGATATTTTGTTGTAGAGTAGACATTGCTTTTCTCTTTCTTTTTTCCAATCATTTGTAAGAGCTGTTTGACCATAAATATTATTCACTTTATTTCGAAATTCTTATTTGATTATAAAAATATCAAATATAATTTGAAATTTTGAGAAACACCTTATTATTTCACCCTTTATTATCATTTTATTTTAAATATTAACCCAACTTCTTACTATCACTTTATTTTTAAATATTACCCCAACAAAGTTATGGTTGACAGAAACATGGCTCCATATGGCTAGTTTTTCAATGTTCAATAGTTGTAAGATTAGTTAATTTGCTAGTTTTTATAATTACGATCTAAAATCATATTTATAAAAAGATACATCCGAATTCTAAAATAAATATTCTAATATTATGATCGAACACAACTCCAATTTTAAAATTTTCAAATAAAGTAAAACAACTTTTTTAATATCCCAAATTCCTACTTAAAAGACCAAAGTAGAAGCTTGATGTCCCACTATTCACAACTTCACATATGATGGATGATGTAGTACCTACGTATGAGTTTCCAGTATGAATGCGTCAAATGGTTTACTTTATTTTCTAATTTTATTTTTCCACACTTTTTAAAATATATTTTTTAAAAATATTTTTAGTTTTGGATGGACACATGTTAGAACATGCATTTATAAGAAATTTCCACGCTTTAAATAATAAAATATAGTAAGATGTATCCTTAAACAAGAAATTTCCTCACATGATTAGACGTAAATGTTCCATATATCCTTTCCAATCAAAATTAAATTGAAATATTTAAGAAATTCTATACACTACTAACCAAATTCCTAATTTTATCATTATTTTTAGATAATAAATAGAGGCGGAGCCAAAATTTGAAATTTGTGGATTCTAAATTTTAGGACGGTTTGAACCCACAACACTAGTGTGAAAAATATTTTCACCGCTCCTTCCTTACTGCTAAATTGTTAATGAATTTTGTTATAAGGTTCACAAGTTACTATGCATATATATATATATAATTTTCTTATATAAATATAACATCTACAAAAAAATTAGTGAATTCATCTGAATCCACGAACCCCCACTTAGCTCCGCCCCTGATGGTAAAAGAGGGAGGTGGTGGTTATATATACATATAATATAAAAATAACTCGTTTCTTGTCGAGTATGTTTTAAAAGTCTAGCAAGTAACACTAGTGGTAACTTCATTATTTTATAATTGACTTAAAATTGAAGCTTAATTTTGAAAGATGACTTTATTATTTTATAGTTTGACTTAATATGATACCGTCTTTCATCTCATGGCACTTGGTATGGTAGTCGAGTAATCAAGATTTTATTTTAATTATTATTTTTTATAATTATAGTGTTCAGATCAATTTTTGTGCATTCATTAATTTCATGAGATACATGTCACCTTCCATCTGCAGTGTCTAGTGAACACTTTAGGTTAACATATTTTTAAAACCATTTTTCTATGTTTATTTTCTCTCTAGAAATTGGCGAAGAAGGAATTAAGGGGATTCCACACATCATCTATTTAAAACTTTGATAAATAAATAAAAACATGTAATTAGTTTGTAAATTTCGTAGTAATCTTTTGGTTTATCTTTAAATATTGAGGGTGACATTCTGTAACAACAGAAAACGATACAATCAATCTAAATGTTATATTCATTAAAACAAAATACTACGACACAATACAATACAATACCACAAATAATAAAACAATCATCCAAACAGAGTGTTAAAGTCGAAATAAAAGTTTAAATTATAAAACCGCGTCATAATAGTACAAATTGCAATATAAACTAATTAGGATGAACCGAAGACCATAAGAGAAAGGTTTATTATGTCATTAATAAGGCAAAGTCCACCAGACAGTCTGTCCTTGCAAAGTGAATTCAATACACGCAAAGCTGAACATGCCCAAATCTTCATAGCCAATTTTCAGTTCCATTTATTTTATTTAGAAATACTTTCTCCGTTTACTTTTACTTGTCTACTTAAAATTTTACACGTCTTTCAAGAAATAATGATAAATATGGATAGTTTACCACAAAATCCATATTAATTGATGTATAATCTTAGATACAGAAAAAAAAAATCTTGATATTTTAAAAGTGACGATTTATATTTTGAAATACTAAACAAGTAAAGGTGAACAAAATAGAGCAAGCATTTCTTACATTCTCTCTCTCCAAAGTGTCTCAAAGGCAGAGTACCCTAAACTGTGCTTATATATATACTACTCAAATGTCATTACTTGTCCATTGTGTCCACTTCTTTGAGAAACTAGCAACAACCAAAGTTTAGTTCTGTTTCTACTCTTGAGCAATGATGGTAAGACTCTACTACAACTATACAAGTTCATTTTTTTTGTTCTTTTTTTCAACAACTAGGCAAATTTTGTTAAGCTGAGACAGTTTACATGCAATACTGCAGCAAAAAATTGTCATAAGAGTACATCATAACTGCAAGAAATGTCAATCAAAAGCCTTGATGATTGCTGCTATGTCAACTGGTACAGCAAATTTCATATAACATTAACTTTGTTTCTTTCCCACCTTCATTTTGCTCTTTGCTTTATGTAGGAGTCAACTCGGTGGCACTAGAAGGGGAGAAGAAAGATAAAGTGGTGATAATAGGAGAAGCAGTAGATGCAGCAGGCATTACCAGTTTATTGAGGAAGAAGGTAGGCCACGCCAGCCTGGAGCTTGTCGATGAAGTCAAGTGAAGAAGAAGTCGGAGAACTGAGCTGCATTCAAAATAGATGTGACGATGAAATGTATTTAATTTAAAGCATATATTTGTTATGTAGAAGAAACAAATAAATACCTTCTTTAAATTTCATGATGATTCATCATTGTGTAATATTTTTAACTTCAAGATCAATACTATATATTCCCTTTTGCTTGAATCATTCAAACAAGTTTCAGAGAAGGGAAGAATCAAAAAATGCTTTTAAAAAGATAACTCTAACATTCAAGAAGAATGAGGAGTCAGATAAGAGCAGCAGGGTCCATAGTTAATTGCTCAGTATTCATATGTCTAAGAGATGCAGCCAAATAAGCATCTGAAGCACGAATTTGCGTCAGTCTTTCTTGCATATTCTGGAACGAAGGACTATTCAACACATCTGATATTCTATCACCTAGTGATGGATCCTCTGAGAAATTGACAAGAGCTTCTGCAGCATTGTCTCTCATTTCCTCGGACTCGTCCTGTAACATATCTACTAATCGTGGAATAGCTCCAGAATTTGCAAGAGCAGCTCTATCTGCTTCATTGTAACTCAACTGGGTGATAGCTCCAGAAACCTTTTCCCTGACATCAATGTTTTGGTCTTCCAACAGCTGAACTAGAATAGGAATTGCACCTGAATTTCGCACAACTGATGGCAAATGCTTGTAACCTGCGAGATCCCACAATACATCAGCAGCCGCAGCTTTAGCTTCGGCACTATCTCCTCTTAGGATTCTAACCAAGTGTTCAACAATTGCTACACCATTCTCTTCTACCACTGCTAGAATGCAAAAGACATCCTCTGCAATCTCCTTACCCATGGGATCAGTTCCTTGCAGAAGGTCAGCGTAAAGAGGAATCGCTCCAGCATTAGCAAGGGGTCTAATGTAATCAACATGAGATGAGATCACACCAAGTGCATTAGCAGCTACGACTTTAGTTGAAGTATCCCCAACCTGAAGTAGTTCTAAAAGCACTGAAAATGTGCCCGAGTCAACAAGCGTGCGCCTTGCTCTCTTGACCAATCCAAGCAACCCAATTGCCTGAGCAGCTCTACATCTAGATACCATGCTGCCACGTCTAGCAGCTTCAACAAGAAAACAAACACCCCTGGAAATCAAAATGGTCCTCCTAACTTCTCTCAAAAGAGCCAATGCACTGAGAATTTCTAGCAAGTATCGCTTTAGATCATCCGAGCAGGTATTCAACAAATTGAGAATGATTTCCATCCCACCATGTCTAACTACAATCTCACGGTTATGAACAGAAAACGTGACACTATTTCTAAGGCATTTCAATAAAACCCTTCGCAAATTCCCATCAGAATGCAATAATAAACTCAAAAGAGAAGGGATGGCACCTGATTCACCAATAAGTACAGCCAATCTACCTTCCCCTCGACAAGCAACACATTTCAAGCAGTGAGCAGCGGCTTCCTGAATTGAAGGACTCAGATCGGTGGAAGGGATTCTTCTAAGAAGCTCTACAAGGACAGGGATCGTGCGTGCTAAGAGATCCTCAGGCGCGTGTTTCGACAATTTGGCAAGCTTAGTTGTAGCTTGGACCCATAATAGCTCATTGTCACATGCTATTGCATTTAGATAAAGATCAAATGCTCGTTCCCAATTTATGTCAAGTTTTTCCGTTTTTCTACCAGACTGGGCCATGACAAACTAGGATCTCTTTTATGGTCACTCTGTACACTCTAAGCACTGTAAACATCAGAGGAAGGAAATTTAACTTCCAAACATACATCACCATTTGTTGAAAATTATGTTGTAAAAAAGGGTTCACAGAACGCTACATTTAATAGACATAATTGTTTTGATGAACCTACTTTACCACATATATAGCACCATAAAGAAGATGCAGCAGAGTATAATCTATACAAGTTTGAGAACAGCTCGCAAAAATCATATTCAAACACTACTCTAGGTACATAAAAAGAAGGCCATAAAGTAAAAGTATTGCAAACAAATTTCACCATATAAAGATTGCAACCTCAATCAGGTTATCAAGAATAGACTCATATGGAAGACTAATGAAGTGAGGTTCATTGAGAGCATAAAACCATTGTTGATATCCAAAAAGTTACAAAAACGCATGTTGTCTCTCTTGTACAATATACTAGTGAATGGCATACTTTCTTTTTATAACTATGGTGTCCGGGCCATCTTGATATTCCACAAGATACATGTCACCTCCCACCCGCAATAAGTATAAGGTAACTCTATCCACCAAGGCTTGGATAGATGGGAAGAAATCACATAATGTTTTTTGTCTCTGCCTTAGGTGCCTAGTGATGGTATACTAATAGTCTTGTCATCGCTATGAAAAATGTCAAAGTAAAAGTTTCCAAGCCTTGTCATGGCTACTTTATCATATGGTATACTAATAACCTAATTATAACAAATGTATTCTTTTTAAGAGTATAATTCGGGCCAAGGGGAGATGCCAAGGTGTATGCTATTTGCAGATGACATAGTATTGATTGACTAGATAACTGGTGGAGTTAACGATAGGCTGGAGGTTTGAAGACAAACCTTGGAGTATAAAGAGGGTTCAGGTTGAACAGGACTAAGACAAAATACTTGAAGTGCAAGTTCAGTGACGTAACTCACGTGGTAGATGTGGAAGTGAAGATTGATGCACAAGTTTCAAGCATCTTGGGTCAATTGTCCAAGAAATAGGGAGATTGACGATGATGTTACTCATCATATTGCAGCGAGGTGGATGAAATGGAGGCTAACATACGATGTCTTGTGTGATGAGAATGTTCCACCAAGACTCAGAGGTAACTTTTATATAAAGTAGTTGTTAGACCAACTATGTTGTATGGGGCGGGCATTGGCCGATCAAAAACTCGCATGTTTAGAAGATGAAAGTAGTTGTACAGTGAGAAATATGATTAGGAACAAAGATATTCTGGACAAGATGGAAGTGGTCTCCCTGGTGAACAAGATGAGGGAGGCAAATTTGAGATGCTTTGGGCATACGAAGAAGAGATCCACAAATGCCCCAGGGAGGTGTAAGAGGTTGGGTGTGATGGGTATGAGAAGAGGTAGAGGTGGCCGAAAAAATATAGGTGAAAGGCAAATAGACAGGACATGAAACACACGCGACTTACTGAGGACATGATCCTAGATGGGAGGATTTGGAGGTCGATAATTAGGGTAGAAAGTTAGTAGGTAGTCGAGTGTTGTCAAGCTTCTCTTTTAGTATTGTAATTATTACTCTCTTACTAAATTATTCTTCAATTTTATTATTACCCGTTGTTTACTTTGCCACGATTATTGTATTATTTTATTCTTGCTACTATTCTCTTCTCCCTTATTTTCTGCATGACTTCTTCATTATTGTATTTTCTTTTCATACTTGATTTTTATATGCTTTACTTGAGCTGATAGTCTATCGAAAACAATCTCTCTAGCTTCACAAGGTAGGGGTAAAGCTGCATACATACCGCCTTGCCCAGTCCTCACTTATGGATATGTTGTGGTTAGTTGTTGTAGCATAGTTTGGGTTAACCTGTTCGCCCCTCGACTATTCCACCAGCTACCGTCTATCTCCAACTAGCACAAGCTCCTAAGTAACTCTACCCACAAGGCTTAGGTAAATGAAAAGAAATCACTCATATGTGTTGTCTCATCTCTGACGTGATTTGAAAACAACTATATAGTGAAATGATTTTATAACCTGTCCAAAACATTTCAATTTCCCCCCTAAGATCAAAAACAGGGTTGATAACTTCTCAAATGTACAAGAACATTACTTTCTACAAACTGTTAACTAGGGGTGGGCATTCGGTATTCGGTTCGGGTTTCTCAAATTTCGGGTTTGGTAATTCGGTAATTGGTAGTTAAAAGTAAATACCAAATACCAAATACCAAATAACCAAAAAATTTGATTCGGTTTTCGGTATTTTATGCCCAGCCCTACTGTTAACTAACCTCTTGAAAAAAGAAAACTTGGAGTTCCCTTTATCAAAAATATCAAATTGTTCATGACCTATGAATTCTATACATATCTATGAACGGAATCAAAGTTGCACCCACCCTCAATTAAGGGCCAAACTAGTTCATACATTAGCTTATACTCAAATCATATTGACAAAGGGGTTTTACATGTAATTAACTTTAATTTTGCATAAGAAAAACAAAACTCAAAAGACAAGTGAATGAATATGCACATGCCAATAAGTACATGTAGAAGGTGATTAAAAGTTGAAACAAACCCCCTTTTCACTAATGAATATTTTCTAAAAAGGGTATCAATCAATTTCATTTTAGAGCGATTACGGTAAAAACTTTAGGTACAGTTACATACATTCATAGAGGAATAATAAGAAGGAAGCATCAAATCATACACAATAATTCGAATAAAGAGCTTGCCTTAGGGATTTGTATCAAAGCAATCCTCTGTTGTGGAGAACTCACAACGTGCAAACGTAAAAAAAGGAATATGATAAAGAAGAAGATTGGAGAATGAAATTAACAGAAATGAATTGATGGTCGGTCTCTCTACTTTTGGTAGTTTAGATCCAAAATTGATTAAAATGAGGAGCCGTCAAATTTGAAGTGAAAAAATAGGTAAAATTTATAGATACTGTTGTAAAACTAATAAAGAGACAAGGGGTGTGTTTGGTACGAAGGAATTTCAATTTTCTCATGTTTGGTTGGGTATAATATTTTGAAAAATATTTTTCAAATTAACTTATTTTTCTCAAATTTAAGGAAAATGACTTTTTCGAAAACATTTTTCAAAACTCTCCTCCAACTTCATATTACAATTTTTTTTGTTGAAAAAAAATAAATTTAAAGCTTAATTTTTAAAAAAATATTTTCAACTTCAATTTTTTTATTTTTTTACCCCACCCTCACCTTACCCCGCCAGCCCCTACCAAACACAGTCAAGATATGAGAGTATTTCTTATTCTTTAAAGTATTCACCAAATCTTTAAGTATCTACAATATGAACCCTTATGCCTCTATTTATATTGTAACATAGAGGCAAACAAAAGGCTATTCATAAACATGACATTAACATGAATATAATGGGGGAGGTTATGAAAGTGAAATGTTAATAATGTAATAACTTATTGGTGTAGTGGACATCCACACTATATTATTAACAAAAGGCTATTCATAAACATGACATTAACATGAATATAATGGGGGAGGTTATGAAAGTGAAATGTTAATAATGTAATAACTTATTGGTGTAGTGGACATCCACACTATATTATTTTATAACAGATACTCATTTTTATAATTTTATATTTATATTATAAAATAATAATATTTCAATAAAAATCTTTTTTGAACTTAAAAAAGATAGAGATGTGTTTTTTTTTTTCGAAGTTGTAGAAAATGTTATACTACTATTAAAGAGTAAATCATGGTTTCAAAATTGATTAAAATTTAAGGATATTTTATTTAGATAAAAATAATATTTGAATCCAGTTTTCTTTAACTTCAAAAATTGATACAGATCCGTTTTTTTTTTTTCATTTTCTTCAAATTTCACAAAACTATCCTACAATTTCATTAAAATATTTATGAACCAAAAGTTATAAGTACTTATAGTTTTTTTGTTTAATTTTATTATCTTAACTTAAAATAAGTACTTATAAATATTTTTTTTTAATTCAAACACTACAAAGTTACTAAAATTTCAATTTCTACGAGGGTGAGTGTCACCCTAAGGAAGTATTATATAATTTGAAATTCTTTGTATATGATTTTTTGGAGAGAAAATGATCAAAATAGTCCTTAATGTATAGGGTTTGAATTATTTTGATCCTTTATCTATACCATCTTATCAAAATAGTCCTTAATGTATACATAAAAAGTATCATTTTGATCCTAACCCTAAAAACTAACTGAAAACATAAAAAAAAGGGGTTAAGTTTAATGGTGGGTCCCACACTCTTCTTCCTCCCTCTTTCTTCCCCATTGCTTCTCCTTCATGTTCAAAAAAAAGAACTTATAAAATGAGGTTACCAGATCGAAGATGGTCAGATCACAAACATCTAGAGGTAATAAAAATGCCAAGGAAGAAATGTAGTTCAAACAGTCCAGAAAACACATCTATTTACTTCAGTCAACATCAAAAAATCAATACAGTTTATAACAAATTAACGCAAACACAAAAGTCAACAGTGAGATGGAAGAACTGTGAAGCATACAAGTTAGCTCAGAATCAGCAGATTACAACTAGATGTGAGTAAAAACCAAATCGGATTTCGGCGAAATCGAATTGCAGAATGAAAGAGAGAAGATTGGAGAATGGATCTGTGAAAGAAAAGGTACCTCTTCTTCTCAATCACAAATTTAGAGATAATAATTGGGACTTTTTCTTTCATTTTATATGTTCTTTTTTTTGAACAGGAAGGAGAAGCAATGGGGAAGAAAGAGGGAGGAAGAAGAGTGTGGGATCCACCGTTAAACTTAACCCTTTTTTGATGTTTTCAGTTAATTTTTAGGGTTAGGATTAAAATGATACTTTTTATGTATACATTAAGGACTATTTTGATAAGATGATATAGATAAAAGATTAAAATAATTCAAACCCTATACATTAAGGACTATTTTGATCATTCTCTCATTTTTTGGATGCACAAAACAACTCAATGATGAAACAATATTATATTACTTTACTATTATGTAGAAGGGCTGTTAACAACTGTCCATCCATACACTTGCTTTTAATTGAGGATATTTTAGAAATTCAATTCTCTCTATTTTTTATTTTTTTAAAGTTTGTTATGTATTTGAAATTTACATAAAAAGTATGATAAATCATATTAGTTACTTATAACTTAATATATTTAAAAATCATATAAAAAGTTTGATTGACTCTCGAAATTTCATTAGCATCACATAAATTGGGACAACGTATCTAATTTATACTATTGCCCTTTAGCCATCGAAGTCTGCACATTCTGTCCATACACATCGAAAGTATGACAAAATGAGTATATTTGAAGTGAAAATACATTTATTAAACTATTTCTGACAGTACAATAATATAGTTGACCCTTTTCATATATCATGCATTTTTACATCATGACGTATTTAAATAAAATCGAGTTCTTAAGGATTTTCAACACTCGATGAAACATGGATAATCGAAATGCTTCAATTATCATTTGATTTGCCTTTAAGATAAAATCGTAAAAGTTGAATTTCTGTCATAAGAAATAGAGAGATTAATGAATATAATAACTTGAAAGACCAAAGGATAGAAGCTTTTTACTTAATTTCATTTTACAAGTTTTTGCACTCAGATTATGCACCAGATAAAACACAATTATTTACAAATGTAATAGAGAAGTAGACAATAAACAGAGTCCAAAAAGTATTCTTTAACTGAGATTTTCTCACTAAACAAAAGTGTCTCCAAAGCTGCCTTTTAACCATTTGCAGCAAGGTACAAAACTGTAGTACAATGGCCATATATTACAACAGCCAGCAGATGATGTCAAAATTTTGTGCAGTATCTCACAATATACACTGTACCATTATATAATTACACTTACCATAAGTATTTTTTAAAAACGCATGCTTCACCTGAGGCTTGAGAATATATGGTTATGTTTGTGCGGTTTGACTTCAAAACCTCAAAGGTAGTGCAAAAGTCCCACTTCAACTGCTGAAACTGTATGTCTTAACTGTGTTTCCTGCCATGAATCATAAGGATTGAAAGTTATAGAAGATTATTCAGCATCAAGTTAAGAAAAGATAAAAACAGCTTCCGGAAAACATAAATAGAGATGCTTGCTTACCTGCGTATTGTGTATTGATCTTTGACTTTCAACTAAAGGCTATAAATCACAAAATTAGCCTTATAATAAGTATGCAGGGCAGAAGATTTGGTGACCAGTGAGCTCAAACATATTATCGTCTTTCATATTTTCTGGCAAGTTCCTTTAGAAGCAATCTCTGCCGAAAATCAAGATATTTGTCCACGCTAGTCCTTGCCCACTGCTGACAAAAAGATTCATCAGTTGGGACCAGTGAACTTAATGGAAATGGTCCCTTGGGAGCCCTCTTTAGAGAAACCAAAAACATATGGCGAGGCCTAATTCTCTGATCCAGCGACAAGCTTAAGTACATAGGATATTTAGTCAATGATCGCACTTCATTGCCAAGTTCATTAACCAAGTAGCTGTACTTAGGTTTCAGATTCCCCTCAAGTGATAGAGAGAAGACCTGCATGTAAAGACATTGTGAATATATGTCCATGAAAATTTATCAATCTAAAAGAATGAGAAATCTTCAAGAACATTGAAAACTTCCATGTTATCACAGCTATAATTCTCTGAAATGTAATCCTTTTTTGTGGTAGTACTAATTTTAACTAAGAATTCTGTTATGCTTCTAAATCTATTATGAATGAGCGATATGTTATGCAATATAGAAGATATGATGTTAAAAACCTCATCTGTATGAAAAGTAGGCCAGAACACCATTCTCTAACTTGATGAGGACAAACAACCAAACTCACAGATGAAGAGATAAGCTGCAGAAGGCAATAAATCTGACCTGTGTAATGCTAGTTAGCACTTTCACTATCTCCGAATTGCGCATTCCGATGCTCCTAAAAAAGTTAATCCGGGGAAGCAATCCATCCTCTATGCTGTAGTGAAGTAATTGAGGATGTTTCCTCACCATTTTGACAATACTATCTCTGGGTGCATTCAATTCTCTGGTGAGAAAATTGAAGCGGGCTGTCCATGAAGTGTTAATCCGCTGCACCAGAATTTGAGGGCTTAACTGCACAACTTTAGCCAGGTCATTCTTCTCAATACCAACCTCCTCAAGCAAGTAAGTCACTGTGGGTTTTAATGAATTTTCCACACTATAGGAAAAAAGAGACGGAGTTGCAGTAATTATCTGCCCTATTCTTGAGTCTGGGATACCCAAACTAGTTAAAAATGTGACATGGGATTTCAGATTGTTTTCCACAGTATACTCGAGAAGTTGAGGCTGCCTCAATATGATCTTCCTGATGTCTTTATGTTTGACACCGACACTCAACAAGAACTCTAACCTTTCCTGTGCAGAACTCTTATTTATTTGAAGGGAAGGCATGTGCCTTTCATACATCTGGATGAAGTGAGAGTCCTTAAATCCAAAGGTACTTAGGTAATCAAGAAGTGGATACCATCTCTCATCGAGATCCAGTTCCTCTGCAAGATGACTAAATCTGTCCTTAGCCAAGCTTACCCTTGCCTCCTACAATGCCACAAGACATGATTTTGCAGCGAATGGTTGAAGCAAAATTTACAGCTTGACATGCTAACATTTAATACCTTTTCTCTGCAATCTGCATGCAAAAAGTTTTACTAGTCAGTTTACTAGAAGCATTAGCATACCCAATAATTTAGTCTTGGGAACTTCCACTGTTATTTTTTATTGTTCTTGCTAACTTTCATTATTTTTATTGCTCGACTTGCCTTGGGTTATCTCAGGAGTTTGCCGCCGGTGTCCCAACTTTGCATTCGATCCTCCTTCTGAATGGTGATGACTGTCTGCATGACACACATAGCATGTAATTTAAGTTCCTTCCCAACCATTAAGATGAAAAAACTGGAAGTATACCTCGTCTGATGTGTGTTGCATTCTGAAACTTCAGGCGTTGCCGATCCTGGGCAGAAACTCTCACATCTAGAGATTCATCCTGGGTGATTAAAACATGGTAATAGAAAAGGAAAAAGCATCAAGTTTCCGTGATTCAAAGAAAAAGGGATGGGGAGGAGGAGACTGTAGCATCACTAACCAAGAATAAACCCCAAAAGAACTCAACCAAGATTATCCAAAAAAGAGTACTAGTGTAAGCAGAACAATATAAGACATGCTTTCTCAGCTTGTAACAATAAAGCAATTTAAACGATACATGACTTATCATTGTGAAATTGTAGATAAAACAAGGTGACTATATGCTGCAACAACATAAAAGTGTTATTCGATCTTTTTAAACAAGACGAACAAAAGTATGTGCTACCCTGTGGTATCAACACTTGTTCTTTTCTATTAACAATTAAGTGATTAATAATTTATGCAACATCATTCAACAACAAGCTAACTTTACATCATACTAACTAGTGGGGATACCTGACTAAACTTGCCAACTTTATAGGATTCCATATCAATAAATTAAACGCGTTGCAGTCAATTTAGTACAATGAACTAACATAGACAATAAAAATTGTTAACAGAGTATATTTATATGGTAAGGTTAACATTCAATTGGTGTTCTACTTGTGAAGTTTTTCAATATTTGCTTTACTTTCTGAAATGTATCCGCACTAATGAAATTGTACTTATAACCATAGATATGTCATTATCTGTTAATACTACCTCCCCACGCCAAAAACCCAGGTAAAGCATGAACTTGCGAGGCAATTGAAACTCACATCAGAAGTTGAAATGTCGTCGTCTTCTTCATCTTCAAAACTATCATCATCATCTTCATCGGAGTCAGAGTCATAAGGAGATAACGGCTGGCCATACCTAGACCTTCGCTTAGGCTTGAGAATCTTCGGATTGGTATGAGAAGAAACAACGCAAATTCTACTAAACCTGAAGAAGCAGCTCTTCCGGCTACGGACAGAAGGGGGGAAACTGATATTGAGGAAAATGGAAGTGTGAGAATGGAGTGGGAAATTGCAGATAATAGAAATGGCTGCTGCTGCCATATTAGTTAGATAGTGAAAAGAAGAAGCAAAAGAAAGGAATATACTCTAAAACCCTAAATTTAGAGGATTTGGAAGTATATGGTATTTGTGAGGAAGAGATGGTGGTGTTGTGGCCATCTTATCTTCACAAAAATGCACAAGACGAGAATGGTCCACAGAATGTCTTTGCTCCTCGCAACAGTCACAGTGATTTTTCCGCTTCACAGTTTCTACAGCATTCAGGAAATGTACAAATGACCTATTTTTAAGGACAATTATCTTTTTTTTTTTCTGTTTTTCATCCGTATTCGGAGTCTATATTAGAGACCAACGAAATTTACTACAAAGTCTATTTGAAGGTGGCGTTTTCAACAAAATTTTCGTCATACCTAGAGCTTGAACACAATACATTTGATTAAGGGTGAAACAATCACGCTATCTTAATCCAAGTTGGTAAGGACAATTGTCACCATTTCGAATCATTTCCACATGTGTTTTGTTTTAAATCTCAAATTCTTCTCCATAAAATATAATTTTATATTTTGTAAAAAAAAAATACACAAAAATCAAGTCGGCCATGAACATATTATTTGTACTACGTGAAAAAATTATATTAAAAAGATTATGTTCAACATGAATAGATTGACTATGAAAGTGTAAAAAATTATTTTGTGTCATGTGGCATATAGTTAATTCATATTTGAGGGGGTAATTAAGATTTTTCATAATTTAAGTGTACATTTATTAAAGTGTCCCAAATTAAAGAGTTCATTAACAAGTAAATTTAAATTTCTTCATCTACGGCTGCAAAAAAAAGAGAAGCAAAATGAATAGCCAAAGTAAAAACTTTTCAAATACAAATAGGATTAATAAAATAGTAGTAGAAAATATTTTTTAGTATTTGATGACTAAGTAAAAAATTATTATATTAAAATTATATATAATCTAACAAAATACGATAAGATGAAAAGTGGGGGCTCAGGGGCTGAGTCCGCTGAAATGATCAAGGTTGTGTTCAGTGGGTAGACTGGAGATAATGAACTTGAAATGTCATTTATGAAATCTATTTCTCACCTTCCTATTGAAAAAATCATTTTTTTCATTTTTAAGAAATTTATATTTCTAGAGAAAATGTTTTTCAAACACGTTTTGATTAACACAACATGCAAAAATTGAAAAATATTTTGTAATATCTTATTTTTTAATATCTCAACCCAAAAAAAAAAAGAAAAGGAGAGAGCAAGGAACGCAACGTGGAGAGATTAGAGCAAGAATACAAATTTGTGGTTGTTAAACATTTAGACCACATTACCCCTCTAATCAAAAGAAGAATTGTGTGCTCCTTACTCTCCAATGGCTACTCCATTGGCGCCTCTTCATGGATTCAACTCACCAGCAATTCCATTAAACAAACAAACAGATTTTCCTCTTCTTATGAAACGAAACAGGCAATTAAGGAAGCCAATCAACGCCGCCGCCACCGATATAATTACTTCAGACCCAACTCAGGTGGAAATCACTTGGCAAATTGTTGCTGGCTCTTTGGGTACTATTTTACCTTCTCAATTTACGTGTCTTTCAATATTTTCAGTTGTTAATTTTTAGGAAAAATAAATATTTTATGTTTGAATTGACGATCAAAATTAAAAAGGTTTAATTCTTGAAATTTGAAATGTATCAAAGAGTATATGAAGGTCGCAAAAGATCAATTAAACATCGAGTCAGTCATAGCATCAACCTATTCATGTAATTTTTGATTTTTGGTATATGACATTATCTGTGATTTATTATGTTTAGATTATTACACATTGTTGTTACGGTTCCTTGTATATATTCTCCTTACCGTTTTGCTATTAGGTATTATGTTTCTCTTCACTGTTGTTTTTTTAATACCATTTTTCTTTTAATTACTACTTTAATTGGCTTGAATTGAGGTTGTTTCAAAAACATCTTAATAAGACATGCGTATATTCTAACCTCTCAAGACTCCTACTCCTATGAGATTTCACTGAATATGTCATTGATGTTGTTATTTTTTTTTTATTTTTTTTTTTGGGATTAACAAATTAATGAGAACCATTTATGCAGCGGGTGTAACACCATTTGTGGTAGCAGGAGTGGAGTTTAGCAAGAGAATTGTTAAGTACCACTAATGCTAATTTCTATTTAATTTCTTGCATCCCATACTCAAAAATCTAATAAAACTTGTTGGTTTTGGCAGGTAAAACAGAGGAAATGTGAAGTTTGTGGGGGTTCAGGACTTGTTCTTAAGAACAAATTTTATAAGAGATGTCCTAATTGTGGTACTAAGCTATCCTACTCTACTTTATGACAATCAATTTTTCTTCCTTTTTACTCATGACTACAAATTGAATATCTCAAACTAGTTTAGGTCTTCAACAACAAACCGCAGCTTCTATAACAAATGAAACTATAGCTATGAAACACAATTATCGAAATTATAGCCTTATTATTTCCATTATGTTTGCTATTTCTAAAATTTACTCTCTTTTTTTAAATGTAAAACAGGGGGATTTCTTCCTTGGCAGTCTTGGAGAAGATTCTTCACTGGTTAATGTAGTACATTTGTGGAATCTTAATACCAACTTTGATGATTCACCCTATACATCTAATATATATATATGTATACCACTTGTAATATAGAAGATTTCGAAATAAGTCTTCATGTATACACCGTGCATATTCTTTTGACTTTGGACTTACTTTTCCTTTTAGTCGATATGACAAATTTTTATATTTATCAATAATTAAATTTTAAAATATTTATTTTACGATATAGCCACACAAACCAGTATAATTTTTTTAGACCACAAATTTAAAAAAAATAGTGAGGGTATATATACACTATTGGGTGGGGAGGAAAGACATAATATATAAGTATGCCTTTTAACTTGGCTTCATTTCATATTTATGTCATCTAATATTGGAGGTCTACAAGTAGACACTTGAATTTGTATAAAGTTAAACAAGTAGAAACATGAGTCCTGCGTGACATAATATACATTGGACACCACATGGAACCAAAATTGTCATGTAGGCAGAGGTAGACCCACCCCTCTAGATGGGGGTGCACGTGCAGCCGTTAACTTCGAAAAAATCATGTATATATAGGTAGATCTATCTTGAGAAACTAACAGAAATTATGATATAATTAACAATGCACCCATGAAAAACAAAGGAGTGTCATTGTGCTGCTGGTACACGCAAAAGTATCCACCCGTGAGACCTAGGTTTGAATCTAGCTAGAGTGTTTATTTCATTGTTTTTTTTTTTCAAGTTTATCTTAGAGCTCATATTTGAGTTAAGATAATATTAGTGCACACAAAATTTTCAAATCCTGATTCGCCTTGCATGTAGGATGCCATGTAGGAAAATAGAAATAGTTGTGTGATATTATGGTTTTTATAGCGCAAATTCCCATACATAAGTGACTATCTAAGGAATTTACTTCATTTTTTACTCATTAAATAATAATAAATGCATTTTGGATCAAACTACTAACGGAAGAGATATTCTTAGATCAAGTTATTAAGAAAAAAATATTTTTACTCAATTTCACATAATTTAAGAAAAATCAATTCCACACAAGAATATATTCAGTCTAAAACAATGATGAAGCAAGGAAGTACAGCACTTGAGTCCTTTACAATCAAGTACTGTGACCTTGATTGAAGTCCACTTGCAATTGAAATTGAATCATACTCTTCATCAAGTTTTACATCATCCTTGCTTACTACTCTACCAGCAATTGTCCTGCAAACTATCACAGCTATCTTCACATTCTTTCCCTTAGAGACGCGATTCGCGTGCTCACACGGGACATCACTGTTTGTGCTTAATTGAATTCCATTTTTCGAGTTGTACAAAGTTCTGAAGCTGGATTGAATTAGCCTGCAAACACAACAACTTGGATCTTTGCAGAGTTCATCAGGATTTATTTCCATCTGTTTATAACAACAATTCATTGTCGTGACATGAAATTGCAATAATTCATTTCCATCAACTCTGATTTTTGAATGGTTTTTGTACTGTCCAAATGACCTTTTCTTCACAGTTTCTCTGTATTTTTCCAACATATCAATGGTGTTGTTCACCCTTAGAACTTTCTTTATTGTTCGACGTTGCTTTGATGGATTTGTTGTGGATGCTAGAAAAATCTTCTCGATAATATTCCTAGATGGATGTCCAATTTCCAGTTCTGTTGAACCACAAAATCATGTTGTGTTAGAGGGGGGGAAAAAAACAACTCCAAGTTAACTATGTTGTGTTCTATATGGGACATCACTACAGTAAGTAATCAGTGGCGGAGCCAGAATTTTCGATAAGGGGTTCAAAATCTGAAAAAATAGACACACGAAGTAGCTGAAGGGGGGTTCGACATCTACTGTATATACCTAAAAAATTATTTTAACCATATAAATATAATATAATTTTCCGCGGAAAGGGGTTTGGACGAACCCCTAATGATAAGGTGGCTCCGCCACTGACAGTAATCAGTGGCGGAGTTAGTTATTATTGAGGGGGTTCAAAATTATCAAGACGTCAAGGGAATTCAATATATATATATCAAAAATATATTTTACAACTACTGAAAAATAACTTTTTATTTTTTTCAAATTTGGTCAAATACTTTAAACTCGCTTTTAACTTTCAAGAAACATAGCCAAACAACTACAAATCTTGATGGACAAAGTCACCTGTAATGGTAATAAAAATACTAGAAGGAGAGAGTGAACTAAGAATTGAAATATAGAAACTTTACCACAAAACCATCTCCATAGAGGTTCCTTGTGTTGAGAAATGGTGCTGAATTCTGGTTTTTCTATGGGAGCATTGGTCTTATGATAACAATGTGTCCTCTCTCTCTGTGGCAAAACATCTGTACTCAGCTTACTACCACATTTGATAGTTTCTGTCACTAACATCCACATAGCATGCATTGAGTGATGTCAGAAAATTGTACTGTATATATAAGTAAAATATTAATTTCTTGAGCATTAATCTTAACAAAAAATCTGACTTCACTACTGAACTAAAGTGCTTTATGCATGGTTGACTTTGTGATAGCTCATGGAACTTAGAAACATGAACCAAGTAGTGTATGGAGAAGTTGAATATTGTTATTATTATCCAAATAAAGGTAGTGGGAATATATGTGGAAGTTTGGCAAAAGGAGAAAAGAGACAATGATTGAATTTAAGGATTTTGTATTTTTGTATTAAAAGCTCACAAGTAGGTACAATTTAATAACTCCTGCAGGACAACGCAGATTTTGTTGGGGGTATATGACTCTACTTGAATCACTTCATACATTATCTGATTTCTTTGAAACGAGTGGACCAGTCAGGGGCAGATTTAGGAGGTCGAGAGGGTGTTCATCTGAACTCCGTTTAATAAAAATGTACATATAGATTTTGAATTTCCTAAACACAAGATAAGATGTTGGTATAGTGATTTAATTAGAGATTCAAAATTTATTTCCAGGTTCAACGTTCAAATTTAAGGCACTATATTCTCCTTAAATTAGAACTTGTGGTAGTTATTGCCGAAATTTTATCGAGTAGAGTGAATATGGTCCAAATCTTGAAAAAAGTTTTTCTCGATCACTTCAATGCCAATAATTTGAAAGATAAGATGAAAGAAAAAGCATTTGTTCATGTTAGTAGTTATAGTAAGTTGTGTTTTTAAAAAGATTTGAAACATGAAATCATCGACGACATCTATGGAGAAAGATGATGGAACCATTAAAACTAGTAAAATAAAAAACGACACCTACTAAAATATGTTAAATTACACTAGTGTAAAAAGGATCTTACACAGTCAAGATATAAACTAAATACATGTGAATTTAGCAGAAGGGTTTATGCGGAGTAATTACGTAGGAAAAGGATACAAGAGCATCAAATTGGAAAAATACAAAAATGCATTTTCATCAGATCCAGATCTTTTCTTTACCTCAGTAAAGAAGGCAGCATGTGTACTAAAGCTCCCGCTATGATAGCACGGAATCCAGGAAGGGATCGAACAAGGGTATATTCTACACAACGTATAGTGGGAAAATACATTTCACATTCAAGTATCCTATAATTTCCTAAAGGAGCCCATACCTCCAAGTTCTTCACACCTAGGGCCGAGCAAATTGTGCCTACTGTAAAGCGAATATATTGACGTTCACATCTACTCAGAACATCCATAGTTGTAACATTTTGTAGCATACTGTCGGTATAAAGCAACAGTGATATTAAAGCTAATTACGTAATGAACATTTGGTGAAATGGTATCCTACAACATGCTGGGTTCTCAATTCTGAAGCGAAGTGTATACGCCAACAAGAGATGTAGCCAGCCCTCTGTAATCCCACCAAGAAGCTGAAAAAGAAAACAGATGGAGGCTTCTTATTTTTAAGTTTTTGCCTGAAGGAAGAAACATTCACGGCCCCAATAGTATCCTTCCATAGTTTTGAGGACATTGAGCAGATGATTGCAAAGGCAGAGTCTCAAAGCCAGTGCCCTGAACACGATTTTCTATAGTTCCAAACCGGCTCATTCCACCATTTACAATGTTGTAGCATGCTGCAACTGTAGCTGGTTGTACTACCATCATACTAGAACTTGAAACCTGAGCTTGGCTATGTACAGTTTCTGCAGGCAGATTGTGAAGTTGTCCATTGCGCCTATTCTCCATACCATATCCTATACCAACACCTAGATTCAAGCTAACTGAACCATTTTCTTCCGTCCTGACCCTTGAACCCCCAGTTACAGGTGCTGATCCTGCCATTTCATGGTTATTAGTCCTGGCTGCTGGTACATCGTGATTGTGTTTCCCCTCATATGTAGTAATTACAGCTTTGGGATCATGGGAAGCCCTCTCCACATGTTTCCTGACAGGGCATCCAGCATTGGTGCACTTGTAATAACTCCTACATCACATTCACATGAGCACCACAAAAACATAAGACACTCACGCCAAGACTAGGTTCATTGTATTTTGGATGTAGACTTTACAGTTTTTGAGGTAAACTGACTATTTTCTATACCTAAAATGATAGCTAAATAATCACTCTCCTTCCAAAGACTACAAAATTGAAAGAGAGGTCAACAAATCTATGTCCTTTCACCTTCCTGTTTAAAGTACGCCAAATTAATGAAAACATCACCAGGTCCTCCATGCAAAGATATTCAGAAGTTTATCAGAGATTTGATGAATTGTTAGATGCATGGTCTCTCTGCCTGCTCGGTCTTCAGTTTAGCGATTTCCACCCATGAAAGCTAATTAAGGGTATTTTGAGTTTCAGAAAGAAAATTTAGGAGATCAGATATTCATACTGTGAAAATAGAAAATTTTCAATTGACTTAATACATAATATAGTAGGTTATCAATTCCTATGCTAATAAAATAAGTAAATATTCTATAATTAAATAGAATATCCTGAGGTATCCTATAGAATATATTCTATATGATTTTCTTCATTTAATACAATAGATCTAGGCGTGTATGAATCTAGTCACAAACTACCTTGATATTTTAACACAAAAAAGGTTATATTCACTTGTCCTATATTCCTAATTAAACATTTACCTGAAGATAATCAATCAAGCATGAAAACCATTCACCCTCTACTACTTAGATGTCTCACTAGAAGTTCATTCAGTTCATTCTGAAATGTTTGTTTGATAAGCTGTATATAGAACTCTATGGTCTGCTGCTGAAACAAGGGCATTACAATCACGCCTTTGGCAAATAAATGAAATACTGAGTGGTGCAATTTTCTATATTTTAGAGGCACAAGGTTCACATGCAGTCATGCAGGTGCATGTTAACCCTTGCTTTACTTCAGCACTTCAAGGGTATGAGAGTTGAACCTAGAACCTCCAAATACTTTAGGCCATTATGGTATTAAGGAGCTCTCCAGAGTACCAACAATTAAATGAGCAGCAAAAAACACAGATTGGTCATTGGATATAAATGGTTACTAAATGACTGTTTCTCTAATGGCAGCTTCACATGCTCTAACTTAACCTACAGGGCATCAAGTGGTAATTAACCTCTCAATCAAATTTTAGCCCAAAAAGTTGTCAAAGTAATACATTCAATAATGGCACTGCTGCCATTAATCTATCATTAACACTGCCAATTTTCATACGTATTATTTTATTTTATTTTTGATAACCGAGAAATCCGTCTGTGACCCGCCCTTTGGACCAATCACAGCCTTCTAAACTCGGTGGATAATGGTTAATTACCACTTGATGCCCTGTAAGGTCTGCGTACACACTCTGTCCTCCCCAGACCCCACTAAGGTCTGCGTACACACTCTGTCCTCCCCAGACCCCACTAAGGTCTGCGTACACACTCTGTCCTCCCCAGACCCCACTAAGGTCTGCGTACACACTCTGTCCTCCCCAGACCCCACTAAGGTCTGCGTACACACTCTGTCCTCCCCAGACCCCACTAAGGTCTGCGTACACACTCTGTCCTCCCCAGACCCCACTAAGGTCTGCATACACTCTGTCCTCCCAGACCCCACTTTGTTGGACACTGGGTATGTTGTTTTGTACTATTAATACTGCGATAAATAAAAATAGGACTGGATTCAGAACCAAGAAAAATCTAATGGACCAAAATTGAGTGTAAATAATATAACATAAAACATCAAACAAAAAAATTTGGAGGAAAAGGGGGTCAGAAGAGACTGCTAGATGGGAAGAGGGAGGGTTGGAGAGCTAAATATGTTCATGCTACATAATAAACTTTATTTGATTTATGAACATGGCTACCAAGCAATGAGAATTGACATATAAATGATTTCAAATCATTTCCCAACAGTTGGTACAGACTCATCTAAGACCTCATTTAGAGAGTCTAATTAGTTGAAAGTGTTAACATTCTAGGCTGATTATGTTACAGACCCAAAACTTTCTGCTATAACACATGACTTCCCAATTTTTCCAGTTATGGTTGTATGGGATTGTAAATAAGTTTCAGTTCACAGCTTAATAAGACATCACCACTACATCTCATGATTATTCTCATCTCACCCAAAACAATAGTTGACTATCTATTTCTTAACTTTGCTAAGTAACACTGTTATTGAGAGGGGAACCTATCGAGTCGACTAGAAAGATGGCTTAGAACATTATGGGGAACTCCCCCTAAAAGTATTGACTTACTTTGGACCATAAAACAACTTCTTAACCAGTAACTACCATGAACTTCAGACACTTAGCATTAGATGCCACACAATGCTTTAAATACCTGGGATTAGGATTACCACGGACCACCTTTTGACCGTATTTCCGCCACCTGTATCCATCATCCAATATATCAACTTCACTCACAGTTTGAACAACAACGCGTGGTTCACGGATAGGCTTAACAATTGGTGTAATATCCATGCCACCATCCATTTTCCTGCTTAAAGACTCAATTGTAAAACCGGACTACTACACAGGAATAAATTTAGGGCCCTCAGTTTTTACCTTCTTTTTGCAAATGGATCATCCTCGTCCACCTGATCATTAGCACTATGCAACTGAGACACTGTACCTTCAAGACCATCACCACCAGCTTGTCGAGGTGATAAAGGAGTACCGCTGGGCTCAGTGTTACTAGTCTGGGCATTAGTGTTGAATTTGTCTTCAAGAAAAGATAAAACAGAGAGAGGAATAACTCCATATGAGATCAAAGAAGCTTCAATAAAGACTACCATGTCATGCATTGGTTGAGTAGGAAACAACCCGTAAAGAGCAATTCAATTTACCTTCTTGACCAGTTAGGCATGCATCTCTCTCACCTCTGTCTTCTTGGATGGAAGTAAGCGCACCAGGAGTAAACCTACGGCTGGGCTGGGGTTTAGGATGATCATGGGAACCTTTATACACAATCTCTGTTATTTGTCCATCAGGAGAGCGCTCAAATATCTTTTTAACTTCACAGTTTGGGTATGTACATTTGTAGTAGCTCCTTGGGAATTCACTTCCTTTAACAAGTTTCTGGCCATACTTTCTCCAGTTATACCCATCTTCTGATGATCTCTCAGCTGTTACCGATGATACATCTTTATTATCAGCATGTGACCCTTGCGAGCTTGGATTTGATTGACCTCTCTGATTTATTTCCTCATTATCAGTTGCAGCAGCAGAAGTACTAATTGACGAGGCTTCTAAACTAACAGGTGCAGGTAGACTCAGCTCTTTTGAATCAGGCATCTCGCTTTCAACAAGAGTTGAAGGTGCTAATGATTGAGAAAGAGATCTATCTTGAACTTGAATCAGAGGTTCACTTTGCTGTTGGTTGAAACCTGCAGAAATCTTCATTACAACAGTGTATTAGGAATTAACTCAATTCAACTCAGCTAAAATAATAATGAAGCTCACATGTTGCTTCTTTAGGTACTAAAAGAAAATAAAAAACTAAATCTGCACGGCCTTCTTATTGTTGTTGGATCCTCTGTCATTAAATCCATAAAATGTAGAAAGAAAGGAAATGCTTCCAAACCCCAAAGTATCAGTCAAGTGAGATGAGCAATTCATCAGAACCACACATCCACTCAAATGTAGAAGAAAACAAATAAAACCAAGAGGAAAAAATTAGCAACATATATGGAAACCAAATACACGATGCAAACAAATCATCATTTTCCTGGCAATGAGTTAACACCTTTTGACTATACTTTTAACAGCTACACTCCATTCTT